TTCATATAATAGGTCCTCAGCTTGCATGGGAAAAAATAAGCCACTTAATCATTTACTCCATTGAGGATCTTTATAAATTTTTTCTTTGTCTTTAGAAGCTTAACTGGGTACTTTAGAACATCTGATTCTTTTTTCTAAAAAGTTGTACTAAAATTTTATTCCAGAGTGTAGCTATTTTAGATTTTATTACTATTGGTCCTCAATACACAGTAAATAATTAATCTATGGCTTTGCTTAGATTATCCAAAGAAATCCCCAATAATAGATGATACTTGCTCTCTGCGCCAAGTATGCTGTCTTATTTACAAAGAGCTGATTTCATGGACTTTGATTTTTTGATAGGCTTTTCATAAGAAATTTGAATATTTGAAAGATGATATTGAATCTGCTCTTTTGGAAAACCAGAAGTTTTAATTGTTAAAGAGAAATTGCTGTTATAGTCTCTCTAATGGACATATTTCTGCAGAATTTAAAAGGTACCTTCTGTTCAAAGTAGAATACACATCTATCAAATCCAAGGAAAAATAATTTTTCAAAATGTTACCACTTATTTTAAAATGCAGTTTTCATAATAATTAAGTCTTGTTAACAGGGGCATTGATTTGAATCTTTGTATTTCTATTTTATTTCTTTATATCGAATGATTTCTCCGACTCACTTTGCAGCTTCACTATATTAAAATACATATAAATGTATTTGCTATAACGTTTTTCATCTCAATTCCTCCCTGCGTATTATTAAAAATAAAGTATAAGATGAAAGAATAACACTTTAATTCATAATACTTTGCTCCCTTAAAAATACTGCCCTCAAAACAGTATTTAAAATTTTACAATCATCCGATATTGATCTTACCTTCGGATACAGCGGAGTGGTACAGAGCAGATGGGGAGAGCACGAGCCCTTTTTGGGGAGTTGGGATGTGCTCGGTGTCCTGAGCTCTGTGCTTCTGCTCCAGAGTGCACTGCCTTTATATACTCTCCAGCTCTGTTTAGCCCGACAGATATTATGCTGACAATATAAATTTCTCATCTGTAAATAATGAGTTTTTATTACAAATGATTTCCCTCGCCTACTCACTTTGCTCATCTGCATTCTATGCGTATGTTGGGTGACAGCTCAGAGCCCAGGAAACTTTTTATTTACTTTTGTGCCTTCTTTCTTCTTTTTGGTTAGGAATGGAAAAAGCATTTTGGAAATTCACCTTTCACTCTTGTTCAGGCATGAAAACCACTTAAGTTCTCTAAATTCTCTAAATTTCAATGTTGAAGAAAAAAGATCTTGAAATGACATAGCTCATGGCCAGTCCATTTTGTGCAGGGTCTCATTTGAGGTTCTTACGAGTCCTTTGGTTTGCTACTTGGCCAGGATGAGTTTACCTGACTCAATAATCAATTCATTCATTCGTCTACCCAAATAGCAAATAATTCATTCAACACACACTTATTAAAAATCCTCTCATTAATTCCCTCTACATGGAATTTGTGTTATTTTTGTGGGGAATTTAAGAAGGTCAGTTAGACTTAATATGTCCTATTTTAATAAATTGGATTCAAGTAGAAAGGACAAAGCACAATGAAGATTAAACATCCAAGACAGGTGAGCTAATAAGATGGAGTCTAGGCTTTCTTTGTCCTTCTAATGTATATTTAAAATCTAATTTTACTGATGAGAGACTGGGGTACTAGGTTACAAAGGAATGACATGTGAGGAAAACTGTTGAGATGAGATGCATACTGTCATATTTCCTGATTTTTGTGATCTGCCACAGCGGCCTTTAATAATCTATAAGATTCAGCAGATACGATTCTGGTCACTTTAGAGAAATAGAGAAGTGGGAAATAATCTGGGCAGACAGTATGAGAACTAGTGTCAGCATCACTAGATTTTAGTTTTGCTGCTACCAACAAGCCATAAGACTTTGGGCAAGTTGCATACTTTCCTTGTGCCTCTGCTTCTTTATTTGCAAAATGAGAGGGTGGGTAAATGTCCCTTTGAAAATTAAAATCTTATTCCATATGATGAAATCATCACAATGCTTCCTAAATAGATTCCAATATTCCAATATAATCAACTGCATGATGTAACTGATGACTTATATGGAAGTAAATTACTGAGGCAACTGGAGAAATATTCCAAATGAACTTAACAGTTCACTTTGTGCATCAGACTAACTGATGGATGTAGAGCTACTTAAAGGCCCTAGAGATCAGTTCCATGTGAGGTTGGTAGATATCACTGAGGGGTTCTTGTGCTGGTGGTTATTGACGGTATGAAGCTTTGCTATTTGAAGTGTGGTCCAAGGACAAGCATCACCTGGGAGCTTGCTAGAAATGTAGAATCTAATGCCTATCTTGTATTTTAACAATTCATGGACATATTAAAGTTTGACAAGCACAGCTGTATAAAATAGCCATCTTACTTTATCACCTTGCTAGTACTGCTGGTATTATTTTTTTTATTTCAGCATATTATGGGGGTACAGATGTTTAGGTTACGTAGGTTGCCCTTGTCCCCCTCCCCCTAAGTCCGAGTTTCAAATATGTCCATCCTTCGGGTGGTGCACATTGCACTCTTTGTGTATGCATATACCCATCCTCTCCTCCCTCCTCTCCCCTCCCCCTCCCCCTGCCCAACATCCAATAGATGTTATTCTTATATGTGCATTTATGTGTTGATCAGTTAATACCAATTTGATGGTGAGTACATGTGGTGCTTGTCTTTCCATTCTTGGGATACCTCACTTAGTAGAATGCGTTCCAGCTCTATCCAGGAGTATACAAGAGGTGCTATATCACCATTGTTTCTTAAAGCTGAATAGTACTCCATGGTACACATATACCACATTTTATTAATCCACTCATGTATTGATGGACACTTGGGTTGTTTCCACATCTTTGCAATTGTGAATTATGCTGCTATAAATATTCGAGTGCAGGTGTCTTTCTTACACAGTATCACTTTGGTCTTTTGGGTAGATGCCCAGTAAAGGGATTGCTGGATCGAATGGTACTTCTACTTGTATCTCTTTAAGGTATCTCCATATTGCTTTCCACAGAGGTTGCACTAGTTTGCAATCCCACCAACAGTGCATGAGTGTTCCTATCTCTCCGCATCCACGCCAACATTTATTGTTTTGGGACTTTTGGATAAAGGCCAGTCTCACTGGAGATAAGCGATATCTCATTGCAGTTTTAATTTGCATTTCCCTGATGATTAGAGATGTTGAGCATTTGTTCACATGTTTTTTGACCATTATTCTGTCTTCTTTTGAAAAGTTTCTGTTCACGTCCTTTGCCCACTTTTTGATAGGGTCGTTTGATTTTTTCTTGTTGATTTTCCCGAGTTCTAAGTAGATTCTGGTTATCAGCCCTTTATCGGATTTGTAGCATGGAAAAATTTTCTCCCATTCTGTAGGTTGTCTGTTTGCTCTTGTGACCGTTTCTTTGGCTGTGCAGAAGCTTTTTAATTTGATCAGGTCCCATTTATTTATTTTGGTTGTTGTTGTGATTGCCTTTGGAGTCTTCTTCATAAATTCTTTGCCTAGGCCAATGTCTAGAAGAGTATTTCCAACATCTTCCTTTAGAATTCTAATAGTTTCACTCCTTAGGTTTAAGTCTGTTATCCACCATGAGTTGATTTTTGTGAGAGGTGAAAGGTGTGGATCCTGCTTCAGTCTTCTACATGTGGCTATCCAATTTTCCCAGCACCATTATTGAATAAGGATTCTTAACCCCAGTATATGTTTTTGTCTGCTTTGTCAAAGATTAGGTGGCTATATGAGGACACTGCTGGTATTTTGATTTGAGGACTGCTGCTTGGCACTACCAGCAGAGGGGGTGAAAGAGCAGAGAAAGGTGTCAAGCCTTGGGTCAGCAGAGTGACACACAAATACGATAATGGCTTGAAAGTATAGATTGGTTTAATATATGATTAAATTGTCTTTCTCTCTGGCTACAATCTTTGTAAGTATGTTAGCTCTATTTTTGCTAATTGCTCTGGAAGATTCAGTTTTATTTTTTCCTGTTGTCTCTTTCTCCAGTTGTTTCTGTCTGTCTCTGTCTCTGTCTCTCCTTCCTTTTCAGACACTATCTGTTTGTGGAGCAGCCCTAAGAAGGGATCTCTGCAGATGATGTAGCCCATAACACAGTACTGGCAGTAAATACTCTCTCCCAATATTTCCTTACAAAATGTTTTTCTTCCCCTCCACCCAACTTGCTTTCTATTATTTTAGAAATGACTATCTCAAATTCTTCTGAGAACTTTCCTCTAACTTCACCTCTAGCCCATCAGCACTGATTCTTGGGGCCCCTTAATACCATGATGATAAGCATTCTGAGGATGCAGGAGCATTAAGACTCCCACTGTACAGGGCACTGCTCTCCTTTCTAGGAGGGGCAAATCAGGCTTCTTCTTTCTGTATTGTCAGAAATTAAGGCAAACATCAAGTGCAATTTGGACTTGCAGATCTTCCTACAATGACTGTCTCAACACCAGCCTCTAGATTTGGCCTTCAACTCCCATGATTGCAGTTATTTGGTTATTTAGACATGACGCAGGGAAAGTGGTAGCCCTGTATTTATGTGACTAGTGTCATATATGACTTCTTTATGATGCTTAGTACTAAGGACTATTTCCATGGGCTCACAAACTGTGCAGTGGCATGGGGCTGCATGCTTGTCTTAATGTTCTGCTTTTACTATCTTGAAATTCTTAATAATTTTTGAACAAGGCCCCACATTTTTATTTTGCACTTGGCCCCACAAATTATGTAGCTGGTTGTGCTTAGGACCTCCCAGTGTGTGGGGGTTATTGTATGCTTATTTTCTGTAGCTGTTAAGAATACTTGGGTTGGAATATTTGAGAATGGCAAAAATCCAGGTTCACAGTGCACTGTGATTTGCCCACAGACTTGCATTACTCACACGAATACAAAGGATTATGACCTCTTTGGAAGGCAATTAGGTAGTATTTATCAAAATTGCAAAT